GGGACGGCCTCTATGGGAGTGTTGTGGAAATGATGCTGGGATGTGATTGGTCCCATGTTGGGGATGGGAGGCCGCAGGATGGTGATTAGGGACTGACGCTTCTCTAAGCCGGGATCACATGACGCCTTGTTGTGTAATATGTTGTCATGATGTCTCAGTGTCCGGGGTGTAAATCGGCGCTGGGGGTTGGAGGAGATATGTTATGCGTGGCGGAGCAGTGTCTTCTTGGCGAGTGTATGGACGCCAGGCTACATCGTATGATATAAGATACATATCGGCCTATATGAAAGGAACGTGCGTTTGTTGTCTGTGGTGCGTCCGATCAGCCGCTGGAGATAATACGACGTTGTCCCTGTGAATGAGCGCGCATGAGGATCATAGTAACGCTACTGGGCATTGATCACTGAGCCGCGCTGGGTAAAGTCACTCCGGTGGTCATTGGAGATGATATGTTGTGTATTGAGGAAGTGGTTGTTAACATCACTTCCTGTTTGAAATTACTTCCTGGTTTGCTGTGTGAGACCACTTCCTGTCTGACATCACTTCCTGTTGGGCAGGTATAAAACAATAAACACATACCTGTGCTGGGGTCTCTTAGCATGGATCTTGAAGCAAGCAACACGTGTGTCCTGTGTCCTAAGTCTACATGACTCATAGGGAGTACTGCCAGTCCTGGCACAAAGAGCGTAGTACAGCAGGGAAAGTCTTTGTGTTTGGCGCACTGTAGCGCACTCTAGCGCAGCATGGATTTGTGCGTTGAACCGAGCGAGTTTCCATAACAGGAGGCATCATGGTGGGACAGCTGCACATAGGAAATGGGAGTTGTAGTCTCACTGATCATGTGACCAGCTTCCTCCATTCACAATATGGTGACTGTGGCTCTGATCCGCATCCTGTGCTGGTCACATGCCGGAGGTGTTATACAGCATTGTATGTGGCAGACAATAGATGTCCCCGCCCCCATCTCTATTCAGGCTGCTCCATTGTTACATAAATGGCCTCCCCCTCCGTCCTCAGAGGAGGGACCTTTCTCCTTTAGATGGAGGGACACTGCTGACCCTACGCTGCACAATACTACAATGGCATCCCTCATACGGCCACTAGAGGGCGGTACCACTACGCTGCACAATACTACAATGGCATCCCTCATACGGCCACTAGAGGGCGGTACCACTATGCTGCACAATACTACAATGACATCCCTCATACGGCCACTAGAGGGCGGTACCACTATGCTGCACAATACTACAATGGCATCCCTCATACAGCCACTAGAGGGCGGTACCACTATGCTGCCCTCCCCTCCCCCAGGCAGACTGGCCCCTCCCCCGGGAGAAGAAGACGCGGCACACAATGTAAGAATGGAAATCGTCTTTATTGCTGAGGAATCGATATTTCAGCACAATAAGTGAGACTTCTAGAATATTCCGCTAACGATACAAAAGTGGTCCTCAGGTTGTCTGACGCCGCGCTTCATCGTCCCATCCGCGCCAGACAAGAATAGCGCAATGTTGTGTCACGCTGGGCTCTCCATGACGCACAATCGCCTTGTGATACACGTGACTGGAAGCGGGACGCACGCAGAGAGGAGGAAAAGTAAGTACGCCGCTAG